TAGCCTCTCCTTGATGGACAGGCTGTAAGCTTTCAGAAGCAAAATGTCCCCATGTTGAAGCACAGCGCCTGGAATGCTTGTACCTTTTGAACAATTACCTCACCAAATGAACAATACTACAAGACACACACAGAAACTCAATGCATAGCAACCTGGGGGTCATTGAGCACGGGGGGGGGGGGGGGGGGGGGGGGGGGGGGGGGGGGCGGATATAAATTGGGCCTGGTGGCGTAACTGTTGGCGTCAGGATGGTCAGTCTAAAGTGAGCATCAGACAAGGAAATTAGTGGTTACGACTTCAAAATGTATTGTGGTAGGGGCAAGCAATACACACAGCATCCTAGGAGGGTCTCAAAGCCACTCCTGGCCTTGTTACGCAAAAATACCTTGAAATGGTGAAGTTTAGGATGGCTTTCTTAGGTCTGTGGAGGAATTAAGCATGTGGGCAATGGGAGAAGGGCATTTCCCATGTGAGAAACAAAAATATGGACGGTGGGAAAACATAGGCAATGATATAAGTAAGTCGGCATAGCTAGAATAATGGGTGGGTTGGACAGGAGGCAGAGAAAGTGTGAGGACCAAATCACAAAAGCACTGTATAATCCTAGGTAGTTTGGCCTTATTTTCGATGGTGAAATAAAAATTCAGCACCAGGAATTTAGGGTTTGTTTGGTTTTTCTGGGTGTTGTGTTTTGTTTTTTTTGAGACAGGGTCTCACTATGTAGTTCAGGCTGGCCTCAAGCTCATGGTGATCCTCCTGCCTCAGCCTCCCAAGTGCCAGGACTACAGGCATGCACCACCACACCCAGCAGCACCAGGATTTTAAGCAGGATATTTGTTTTAGAAGTTACGGTGGAGGGCTGGGGATATAGCTCAGCGGCACAGAGCCTGCCTAGCAAGCACAAGGTCCTGAGTTCGATTCCCAGTACCAAAAAAGAAAAACTTATGGTGGAGAGACGACTAGAGGTAGTAACTTAGGAGATGCCTTTATTGCTACAGTCCAAGTGACCAAGGAGTTTGGAATGATTTTTTAAATTCAGCTTATTAGTACATTCTGAATATACATAATACCCACTCTCATCGTATAGGGACTCTGCACCCGTACATGACGCATTCAGATCCTTTCCCCATTCCCTCACCCCGTCCCCATTATTTACAAAGCTTTGTATGCTTTTCCTCTTTTCTTCTATTCCCTTCCTTCATTTCCCCCTCCACCCTCCCTTGCTCCCCTCCCCATCTGAACACTCTCTTCCAGAATACCTAGTATACACTCTTGCCCTTATTTACATTTTAAGGACAATACAGAGGTAGTTAGCAGGGGGACACAGGGACAAGAAAAGATGGCGTCGAGGTGGGAGAGATTTAAATGTCTATAGGATGAGAGTAAATGTTCACAGGATGGGAGAAAGAGCCCCAGGAAATACAGGTTGAAGATGTTCAATGGTACAAGGTCTCCGGGAAGGTAGGAGGGCCGAGGCTCCAGAAGCACTGATCAGAAAGAGAGAAACCGACGCTGACAGCTCGGAAGAGGAAGGGAGGGCGCAGGCGAGAAGACGCCTGCACAGCGCAGGCCCGGCTGTGGAGCCGCCACCTCCAACTGCGTCCCTTCGCTCCTTCTCACTTCTTCCCCTTCCCTGTGTACTGCCCTTGCTCTCTTCCTAGCTCACCATCTACCAGGCCTGACAGATCAGCTAATTAAGCTTATTAGAATTTTGTCAGAAAGAAGAATAAATAAGTGGCGAGACACTTCTGATTGCACCTGCACTCCAGAAATGTGCCAGGCTTCCCCTGCCCCACTTTTTCTGATAGCCTCGGGGGCAATGACTGAGAACGAAATGCAACCCCGGAGTTTCCTGCCTTTTTGACATTCACTTTGGCTGCCAACTCAATGATCACTATAAACTTGGTTCTGTTAACAATCCAGGTAGCTCAGTTTGCCAGATGTAACCTGTGAATAGATGGTGTCAAGAGTCCCCAGTTACCATCCAGCTCCTCTCCCTCCATTTTCCAAATTACCATCCAGCCTACAAACCGTTAGGTGACACACACCCTAAAGTATCATGCCTTGGATCTAAGATCTATTGTTTTTTAAAAAGTTCATTAGTAGATGAATTTCTTATTCTGGCAAGAGACTCACATTCCTCTCTTTCCCAAATTGGGTATTTGACCTAGTACAGAAACGACTTCCATAAATACTGCCAGGAAGGTTTTCACGCAAGACAAATATGCCCAGATCAAAAAGGCGATTCCACTAATACAAAGATCTTCCTAGGCGCTATCACTTACTTAAAATGCTCTCAATTAGTACTTGAAATAATGATTTTTAGTAAGTATTATTTTATGAATTCAATCTTGTAGAATTATTTAGGCAATAGAAATTTGGGAAAAACAGTAATTTTAATAAGATTATATCCTGAAGGAAACACAATGTTGTTGTTGTTCTTGCTGTTTTGGTGTCTCTGAGACAGGGTCTTGCTACGCAGTTCAGGCTGGCCTTAAAATCACTTAACTCAGGGGCTGGGGATTTAGCTCAGCGGCAAAGCGCCTGCCTGGCAAGCGCAAGGTCATGAGTTTGATTCCCGGTACCAGAGAAAAACCAAAAAAAAAAAATCACTTAACTCAAAACAATCCTCCTGCCTCAGCCTCCCAAGTGTTGGGATTACAGGCATGTGCCACCACGCCTGGCTGAAAATCTTACTCTACATGTGATTTTGACTTGATCTATCTCCCTAACGTATACTTCCTAATACCATATCAAAAATATTTCTAGGAAAAGGAAAAGTGTATTTGTGGAAGTGTTAAATTAAATAGCCACAGAGGCGATAAAAAAGTTTTAAAGAGTACAAAGTTTCATGGCCTCTAAAATTTCATTGAATGCCGGGCATGGTAGCAAATTCTTGTAATCCCAGAAGTGGGGAGGCTGAGACAGGAGGATCCTTGTGAGTTAGAGACCAGCCTGGGCTATAAAGTGAGCTCAAGGCCAGCTTGAACTGCCAGTGAGACCCTGTCTCAAAAAGAAAAAAAAAAAAAATTCATTGAAGCTTCATGTGGATTAAGAAAAAAATACTATTAACCTTCAATATTCTGTTCAGAAAATTTTCAAACATAATTTCTACTATAAAAAATGGAAAGCTTAGATATACATTTATACCAAATTAAAAACACCTTTAAAAAACCAATTGGGTGAGCCAGGCATAATGACACATAATGACACATGCCTATAAAGGCAGCACTGGAAAGGCAGAGGTAGGAGGATCGAGGATTGCAGCAGAGTTCAAGGCCACCCTGGGCTGCACAGTGATTCATATTAGACAGTTCAAGGCAAGCCTGGACTGCATAGCAAGACCTGGTCTCGAAACAAAAAATTAAAAAAACACCAGCTGGGTCAAGATTTGTCCTTACAAGAATGAGCTTTAAGAATTACATTCTTATGTAACATCTTCTTCATTTATATACCTTTAGAGCTACACTCAAACTGAAGTATATCACAACCGAGAAAATGCTTAAAGCTACTGAGTATCACTTACGCATATCTACACCAGTTTCAAAGACAAGACATAGTTACTGATACAGAAGAGTAGTTACCAGAGTGAAAGAAAAGAAAAGGGGGGGGGGATGAGTCCAAGACAATTTAAGCATTACCTACCTAAACACATTAAATGCTATAATCTTAAAAATACAAATCTTGTAAGAAATTGACCTGGAAAAAAAATGCAAGAAACTTAAGGTCATGTATTGTACACTGATGTAAAGTATGTTCTTGGTGCATAACAAGTAGCTTCTTATCAGAGTCCTTCTAAACATACTCAAATATGTATTTATGTCATCTAAAATGGAAGTTATTACTGAAAGAAATAAGAGTAGCAATGCTAGGTGCGGGGGCACACGCCTGTAATGCCAGCACTTGGGAGGCTGAAGCAGGAGGATCGTTGCGAGTTCAAGACCAGCCTGGGCTACAAAGTGAGCTCCAGGCCAGGCTGAACTGCACAGCAAGACCCTGTCTCAAAAAAGACAAAAAAAATAAAAAATAAATATAAATTATTTTTTTAAAGTAGCAAGATTTTAAAGTCCCAGGTCCAACTGGGTGTGGTAGTAAATGCCTATATTGGCAGCACTTGGAAGGCTGAGGCGGGAGGATCACCAAAAGTTCAAGGTCAGCCTGGACTTTATAACAAGACTCTGTCTCAATCAATAAATTAATAAATATATAAACAGATATATAAAGTCAGACCCAGCCCCTAAATGAAAACAAAAGATCAATAAGTTAGGCAAGCAGGCCAGAGCCACACGGTAGTAAGAGCAGTACTAGGAGCTGTGATGGCTTACTGTGTTCTCGTGGCTTAGCTGGGTAACCCAGAGGAAAGTCACCAGGTAGGTTGCTAAGTGTTCTTGTGTTACACAGTAAGGTGACTAGGAAACTGCCTGGAAATTGGAAGGTTCAAGTGTTTGAGGGTGACATAAGAGATTGGACACAATCTTACTTTGGATCAGATCAATAGCCCAATGTGGTTGGCTGCAATGGATAGCTGCTATGAATAGATATTAAATATCAGCCTTAACTTTTGAAAAAGGAATATGAAGAGATACTCTGAAACTTCTGCCAAGAAATAAATACCCAAGATCACTGGTTCTCTTACTGGCTATGAATCAGGTTTGGCAGGGAAGCTCACAGACACACACATGCATGAGCATACACACACACACACACACACACACACACACACACACAGACTCTACCTCACCCTGCTAAGTGAAATCCTCTAGGGGTGGACCCTAGGAAACCCTGGGAAGTGTGTATTTTTATAACACATTTCCCAGATGATTCTTACTTTGTAGTCAGCCTCGTATCAGTCAAGGCCTATGTACAGGAACCTTCTTCCAGACAGTAATACAGAGGGAGAACATTTTGGAAATAATTTAGTTCTGTCTGTATTGCAAAAGTTCTTCATTTGAAAGAAATTACCATTATGACTTTAACCAACAGGAAAAAATGTGAGCAAATTTCCTTAAGAAATAAAAGAATCTTTATTGTTTTAGAAGCAATGTTGAGCAAACAGACAAGCAAATTTCTAAAGAGCGATACCATACATCAACTAGTGGTTTAAACATTTGAGGAGAAAACATGGAAAGCATTTACATGGACCAGTTTCTTTGTGGAAATGGTAAAACATGAAAAGCACCCCGAACTAAATAGCGTATCACCATCAAGGCACAAACCCAGTAAAACAAAACAAAAACTACAAAAGGTACAAAGAACATGTGACTGTAGGAAATAATAGCGTGAAGAGCAGTATATAAACTGGTCCATGTAAAATACAAAAATATTCACTGATGTCAGATTTTCTATAAAACAGTGCTTATCGGAGGTATTTTAATATCACTCTGATATATACTCTAAGTGTAGAAACTTTTAGAAACATTAACAGCATTAAGCCAGTGTGACCACTTGTGCTTCCGATGTTTACTTTTTTTAAAAAAAAAGCTGCTTCATTTTCCCTTGAGAAATATCTAAGGCCCACATTCTTAAAAGCATTATCCATTCTTATAAGATTAACAATTTTACAGTAAAACAGTTTAAATAAAAATATTTTTTTTAAAAACCAATTTATATTTAGTCTTTAAGAAGTGTTTTAAACTGGCAGTGCAGCTCAATGTAGCTCTAGAAGGGTTAGTCAGGAATTTGATTCTGAGCCAGTAAGGCCTGCAGGCTAAACAGACAGCAAATTTAAGTGAGAGAAAATATTTTATCACTCTAATATAACACAAAGGACAGTTAGACACATATACATGTTAGCATGCAACTGCCTATATATGTGTGAGTGCGTGTGTGTACTGATGCATTCAGCATTAGTATTTTGGAACCCTGAGAGTTCCGCATTTTCTTATGCACGGGAGGCATATAATCTGCCCTCTCCAAATAACCACAGGAATCTTCCACCTATGGCTACATATTAATATTTTAGCGTGCTCAGTCTCACCAATATTTATATGTATAAAAAAAAAGATTGCCTAGAAGCTACAAGGAATACCTATATGTTAACGATCAAGCTGAAGTATTTTCCTTTCTCATATAAAGCATTAGGTGGTACAGAGCAAATGGACAACTGGCGTATCTCTCAGAGCACAAAACTCAATACAAAGTACATGAATTAATGATTCTACCATAACAAAAACAGTGTAAGTTTTGATTAGCACAGAGCCACTTAAATGTGACAGCCCAATTAATAATGTTGTAGCAATCAATGCAAACTGGAAACCAATAACTTTTTAATGGACTAAGATCAAAATGTTGAGTTAGGTGTGAGTTATTTTCTAAGTGCAAATGTACTTTTTTATCTAGGTTCTAGGACACACTGGCATTTCTCTTTTAAGAAAAAAAAGAATAAAATATACTACCACCAACAAGAAAGACTTGAAGGTTAAAGAGAAATCTTCATTAATTTTAGTACTGCACGTTGAGGCCAATTTATGGGTACACAAAGGACTAATGAATGCCCTCAGCTGGCACTGCCTAGCAATTATCTCTAAAGCACCTACAAAATAGATTAAAATGCCCAGTCGGGATAGCCTTCTGTCTTGCAATTTAAAAGGTTGACATGGCCAGTTTTTAAAAAACGATAAAGCAACAGTAACGCTTATTCTAAAATTTAAAAGGTTTTTGTATCTTTTGTCATTCAGGCCACATTAAACACAAATGTATTGAAAATCATGAGAAAAACATTCACTGGTAAAAACGTATTACTAAGCCCTGTGCAAATCTACTAACATCTCTCTCATTGGTCAAATATGCAGCAACGCCAAAGTAGCGAAGTTAACCTGCAAACAAAATCACAATAAAATGCAAAAGAAGCAAGTACAAATCCACTGTAGAATGCTGCCCTCATTCAACCTCATGCAGCAAGAAAATTTTGTTCAAAAACATTTTTTCTTAAACTGTGTATTTCTAGCCATACCATTTAAATGAAACTGATAAAATACTAATTCAAAGCAGTAAAATAAAACCTCTAGTCCAGATGTGTTGCATATATGTTTTGCTATGGAAATAATAGCTTTAAATTTCTTGGTGCTAAAAACCAAAAATCGCATGGCTAATTTGTAGCTTACAGGTTTTTTTTTTCTTTTTGTTTTTTTTCTATTTCTTTTTTTTTAATGTTTTAGTTTGAATTACAAATCTCCCAAACCATCCATTCTAAGAGTGGGACTGCAACTAAGTGTACATTAAATTGAATAGTAATGCATGTTGGAACTTGTACTTGCTTTATTATTTTGCCACAGAGATCACATATGGACTACTGTTACAGAGTTTGATATCCAGCATAACTTTTTCTTCTGCCAATTAGGTAAGCAATCACTATAACGATAATCAAGCCTGAAAGACCAGCACCAACTATAATTGGTATTAGAATGGTGTCATCATCCAGCGAACACTCCTGGGCTGTAGATGAGAAAAAGTGTGTAACAAATAATGAGTATAATCAAAAAAGAATGTCCAAAAGTAAAAGATGTTGCTTCAAAAGTCAGAAATGCTCTTACAAAATCAATTTCAAGTAACACAGGTATACTTTTATGACAAAGTTAATGAACAGTATGGACTATTCTAAAATTAAAACCCTAAAACGTATTTGTCCTTTCATTCATACCTATAAATAAGCACACACTGTCTTATATGTCATATAACACACATATATGTGTCTGTGTTTGTGTGCTTGTTTATATTCCACATCCTTTCCAAATCAGAAGTAATTACTTTCTCAGAAATGAAGAGAGCGAACCTAGCCCATTTATACGTAGCCAGGTTAGCCTCTCTGTGGCGGAGTGAATGTCTTTGGAGAAACGGGACAGCAGTGGATGATGGGATCAGAACAGCTAGGCTGGCTCTGGAGTTCCTTACAGTAGGGGACAGCAAACTACAGGCCAAATCAGGCCAAAGAGCTAAAACTGTATTTGTAAAACTGTATTTACAATTTTAAATAACTGAAGATCAAAACCAAGAGTATTTTGTGATACATGAGAGCTACGTGAAATTCAAATGTGAGTATCCATAAAGACAGTTCTGTGGGAACACAGCCGCACTCATCTGTTTGCTACCATGGCAGAGCTGAACAGTTGTGACGGAAAGCAGATTGGCCCCAAAGTCTTAAAAAATCAGTTGCTGTCTGGACCTTCTGAGAAAAAAATTTATAGATTCCCTAACTTAAAATATATGATTTTAGTGACTGCAAGAGTCAAGAAATGGGACCCTCTCACTAATTTAAGCATGTTTACTGCACTTCTCCTCAGTCTGGTCCGGCCAACAGCCCATGGGAATGAGTTTTTCTGTTTCTCGAGAGCAGTCTGATCCAGTAAAATCTACTCAACACCATTCTCCCTTACTGTAAGGATATTTCTTCACCACATACCCTCAAATATACTGTGTACTGTATGTACAGGTACCACAGCCAAGAACCTACTTCAAGAAATAGATATGCATTCGATATTAGCATTAAATGTGGTGGGCCTCTTTGGGAGACATTTCAAATTCTATACACATATAAACCAAAATTTCAAATTAGACAAAGAGCACAGCTCATCTCTATCACAGCTGACTAGATAAATAGGCCTGCACTGGTAATAACACTGCAAATGATTTTAAATTCTAAACACAACTCTGGACCTAAAATTAGGATAATGATGTAGGGGAGCTAGATAAAGACTCTAAAAATAAAGCTATTAAAAGATCAACATAATTGAAGTACATAAGTAAAACCAACAAAAGGGAAAACGAATTCTTAAAAATACTTTTAAATTTACGATTAACCTCTTTAGTCACAAGAATGGCAGGAGAAGAGCCCGATTTATTTTGGCCTAACCAAGTCAGACTAGGTATTTAGCACTGCTAGAGAAACAGCCAAATGGCTTACAGCATATTTACTTTTAAACACAGCTGCTACATTTCCTTTGAAAACATAGAATGAATTGTTAAAAAGATGTGGATGCTGAAACAGCGCTGCTCAGCAAAGCTGTGATCTACAAACCTCCAATTCTAAGTAACTAGAGGGATAAGTCACCTAAATAATTTTATGTACACTTTTTCTTCATGCAAATTTCAATCTTGCAGTGCTAAATGTATCTTTCATATTCACATGAGAATATTATAATGAGACTTTCACAAGGGTTTCATTAAAAATTTGACAAATGCTACCATTAGCCCTGAGTAGATCTTTATTTTTTTTAATTTTTCTTTTTTGGGGGAATTGGTTTTTTTGAGATAGGGTCTCACTATGCAGTTCAGGCTGGCCTTGACTCACTATGTAGCCCAGGCTGGCTTTGAACTCACAGCGATCCTCCTGCCTCAGCCTCCCGAGTGCCGGGAATACAGACATGCACCACCACGCCCGGCAACCCAGAGTAGATCTTCAAAAAGCCCCATGTGAACTACCATGCGATTTGAGGAATCTTCAGATCATTTCTGATGGTAAAAACGTATTTTATAATACCCGAGGCTTTGCTCCTGATTTCCAGCTTGTGTCTCATCAAGCTTAGACCAAATCACTTTCATTCAGGTATGAAAATATTTCTAGCAAGAAGATGGCCCCTAGAAGCCAGATGCAAGATGTTCAAATGCCATCCGTCCCCCCAAACTCAAACCTAGCAGAAGCACCTACACTTTATGTAAGCTCGCCCACACCTGAAGCTGCTTTTCAGCACAAAAAAAACCGTGAGCCAGAGCTTTGCAACTCACTCAAGGCTGGAAGACCTGTGTGTCAGAGTCAAGGGGTGAATTTTTATTTCTCTGTTTCAATGCCTAAATTTTCATGACTCAAAGAGAAAGCCGCCTACTGGTCAATGTAAGAACATAAATTATTAATAAAGTTTACTTGAGCCTTACCTGTAGAATATACTCCTTCCTTCACATTGAAAGGCTGAACCCTTAGGCGAAAGGTATTTATCTGAAAATTTTCAGACACTGACACAGTCTGTTCTTTGTTGCACATATAAGAACTTCCCAGGGGGGCATCCCAGTAGCTAAGGTTCTTATTTGCAGTGCTGAAAACTTTACAGACAAAAAAATATGTTAGTAATTTCTTATCCTACCAACATCCAAACTGGACAGTCTTCGGGATTTTTTGTTTTGTTTTGTGATGTTAGGGCTTGAAACATGGGGCCTTCACAGCAAGCTGTATTACCAGCCCTTTTTTTATTTGTAATTTTGAAACAGAATCTCGTTAAGCCATTAAGTTGCCCACTTACCATCACTAAGTTGGTTCCCTCCTCTTTCTATAAATGTTTCTACAGTCTAAAACTCAAGTCACATCCTCATCTATTATCTACCATGATACTGCAAAAGGTGGAAAACTGTAATTCTATTTATTTCCTATCTCTTTTTTTAGCGGTGTTGCAGACTGAACTCAGGGGCACTCTAACACTGACCTACATCCCCAGCCTTTTTTATTTTATTTTATTTTTTATTTATTTATTTATTTATTGGTTTTTCTCCGGTACCAGGAACCGAACTCACGACCTTGCGCTTGCCAGGCAGGCGCTTTGCCGCTGAGCTAAATCCCCAGCCCCCCAGCCTTTTTTATTTTGAGACAGGGTCTCCTTAAGTTATCCAGCCTGGCCTCAAACTCGCAATCCTCCTGCCTCAGCCTCCTGAGTAAATGAGATTAGAGATACAGTTACCACCACAGCCAGCCACCATAGTTCTACATTACAGATGAAGTTGTGGTCAAGGCATACTTTTTACACAATGTCTTCTGTCCCACTAAAAAAGGCACTGATTGGTAACGGGATTATTATAGCTTCTATTCCTTCAGTCTAACCCGCTCTTCTCCCCCAGGCCAATGCTTTGCTTACCGGAGCCATTTGCCAACGCTATGCTGGCATTCACTTCCTTCAGGTAGAATCGGTTTTCATTTTTCTGTTTGAAAAAGAGCTTCAGGTTAATCAACAATCACAATTGTCCACAGGTAGAGTTAATATCTACAGAAGAAAGCAATCTAGTATTACTACCCAGAAGAACAAACCATGGAGGGGACCTGGGCCAGTCAAATAAACTGCAACTAAGTAAAAGAGAACTCAAAGTGTGACAAAGTCTTTTTCCTCTGCATTTCTTCCAACTTTCAGACCCCACAAGCAGTCCTTGGTTCTTAAACACTCAGTGATTCATACCCTTGACTTCATTCCTCCTGTCACTTCCTGTGTCCACACTACTTCCGGGCTGGCTCACAACAGCCTCGTAACTGGGCTCCCACCTGCAACCCTCCAGCTCTGCTCTTTCCTTTTCACTATTATCTCTTTCATTTGTCATTGTATTGACTGTTTTTTCTTGTTGCAATCAGCTTCCTAACTTTATTGTTTTATTTACTCATTGTAGTGCTGGGTATCAAACCCAGGATCTCGTACACATTGTACTAGGCAAGTACCACTGAACTTTATGCGCAGCCCCTGTTCCTATTCTTTCTATCAACGTGTAGTAAGTGTTATGTATCAGGGAAGCTCAGGGTATATATTTCAATAAATGCAGCCAGATGTGGTGGTGCAGCACTCTATAGAGGCTGAGGCAAGAGGATCGTTGACCAGCCTGGGATACAAAGTGAGCTCAAGGCCAACCTGAACTGCATAAGCAAAACCCTGTCTCAAAAAGACAATCAATCAATCAATCAATCAATAAAAAATAAATGCATACAGGGTGCATTGATCAAATCAAGATGACTGGGATTTCCCTCTCATGATTATTTTTATTATTTGAGGTACTTGGGATTGAGCCCATGGTCTTCCACCTGCAGGCAAACTCTCTAGAGCTAAGTTACACCCTTAGCCCTTTTTATTATTTCTTTTTATTTTAAGACAGGGTCTTGCTAAGTTGTCCAGACTGGCCTCAAACTTTTGAACCTCCTGTCTCCTTTTTCAGTTAGTTTTTGTTTTTTTGAGCCAGTCTCGCTTTGTACTTCAGGCTGGCTTTGAACTCACTATGTAGCCCAGGCTGCCCTCAAACTCATGGTGATCCTCCTGTCTCAGCCTCCTGAGCGCTGGAATCACAGCCGTGCAGCACTGTGCCCGGCTCTCCTTATCATTTCTTGTTCGGAGGCTTCAAATTCAGCTCTTCAACTTCTTCATAAAACAGGTTATTGTGAGCTATAGTCACCCCTTGCATTGTAGAACATCAGAACTTACTCTTGGTGTTTTGGTACCCATTATATGACCTCCCTGTTATAGCTCGTGTCAAGATGTCCCCCCAAAGCCTCATGCAGTCATAGGTGGGCCTTTTTCGGAGGTGGCTGGATCTGAAGTGACTGATTCATGGTGCGGTGCTGGGATTAAGGGTGGTGATTACTAAAGCAGTCCACTGATTGCACTGGCACCACCCTAATCCTCGTAGACTGGATACAATATAAGGGACAGAAAGAGGCTTGTCTTCCCCCTTCCTTGCTTGCTTTTCTGACTTCTGTTGGCATGAACTGGTTCTCTTCTGTGATGCCCCTTTGCCATGCCACCCTGCCCTGGAGCCAGCTGACTATGGACTGAAACCTCTACAAACTGAGAGCTAAATAACCCTTTCCCCCTTTAACTTTAGGTGCTGGGTATTTTGTCTCAGCAATGAGAGAAAAGTGACTGAGACACTCCCTCTCCCTGCTTTCTGCTCCCTGCTATTATCTTTTGAAGCAATGAACCAATCTGTCAGTCACTGTAACTATCTGAGTGCTCAGCATATAAAAGGTAACATGGTCAGGTGATGCAGGGAGGTAACAAAATGAGTCAGACTTCAATCTTGCTCTGGGAGTATTTGCAGGCTACCTGGGAAGATAAAAATACTAGTGATCATATTCCAAAAAAGAAAGCAGAAGCTAAGTGTGCTTGTGAACACCTATAATCCTAGCACTTAGGAGGGTGAGGTAGGAGGATCTAAGTCACCCTGAGCTACAAAGTGAGTTCAGGGCCAGCCTGAACCGCAGAGCAAAACCTTGTCTCTAAAAGGAAAAAAGAAAAAAGAAAAGAAACTGGCAGCCCACACCTGTAATCCCAGCACTCAAGAGGCTGAGGCAGGAGGATTGCTGCAAGCTCGAGGCCAGCCTGGGTCCCATAGTGAGTCCGCAGCCAGCTTGAACTGCATAGCAAAACCCTGTCTCAAAAAAAAAAAAAAAGTGGCAAGGTATAAAAATTGATAGAAAAAAAATATTTCCAATGAGGGAAGAAGCAAAGCAATGCCAGCCTAGGAACAGGGTCTTGGATGAGGTAGGGTCTGGATAGGAAACAAACAGAAAGGGGGTTTTCAAAAAAGGCTACCATGTGATTAAAGGTAGTCAGAAAAAGAGCACAATCGCAAGTACACCAGCACTTGAGAACTTCCTAAGTGCCAACCACCGTCCTCAAATCTCTACGTAGAAGGATTCATTAAATAATTATAATAACCTACGCTACAGATGCTGTTAGCATCTCCATTTTGAGATGGAGAAATTCTCACCCAGGGATGCTAAGGGACTGCTCTCTCAGCTACAGGATTAGGAGTCAGTGAGCTGGGAGTTGAGCCCCAGGAGATCTGGCTGCAGAGTCCTGAACCAGTTACTGCTGGGCTCTGCCACATCACAAGATGCACACAGCGGGCAGGTGACGGTGGCGGAAGCATAACGCTCGTGGAGAGGGAGTGAAGAAACGCAGGCTGCAAATGCAGGACACGTCGCATGCGGCAAAGAGGGCCTGCACCGCCCTGTGTGGAGTTTAAGCGTGACCCTGTTGGTAAAATAACCTTGGAGGATTCCTGAGGAAGAGCTGAGCTTCCAGATGATGAAGCTGAGGGCAATGAGGTCAGACGAGGTAGGAGGATGCTGCAACCAGACCAAAAGCAGACGGGAATGAAAACAGGGGGACACCCTCGAGGGAAGTCTCGGGGGAAGCAGAAAGGAGGCCTTGCTCGCCTCGTCGCATCCCTCCTCTGCCGAGGCAATGTTTTGCCTTGGCATCTGAGGCTCTTCTCCAGCTGGCTCTGAACACGTTCCTTCCTCCACAGGCAACTGCTCTCTTCCACCACTCCCCTGATCGGCTCTGTACAAATCTGGCCTGTGCGTGAAGGCCCAGGTCAAATGCCAGCTCTTCCAAACCTTCTCGGCTCTCCCACCCTGCTGTCCCACAGCTCCACACACACCCTCCCCAGCAGCCTGCTGCCCACAGAAACCAGTGCAGCAGCCTGAGCACGGCAGTCCCTCGGGCCTTGAACCAAACTGGCAACTGTTCGCGCATTTCTGTCTTTGCCACTGAAGTCCGGGCTACTTAAGGACACAGTTTCTTTCTTCATATAGACCCCACCCCAGCAGCCTACACACGGCACACGTGCGTGCTGGAAGGTCTCCTAAGGGTCATGTATCGGGACGGGGTGAAGTTGATGGGGGTCCCCTGATTCTATTGACATTGCAGGGGTTTCTTGATTTTCCAAACCACCTGTAACATGGTTAAAATGTCACCATCTGGGATTACATTTTAAAATAGTCTGGCAGGCAAAATAAATATTGTAATTGTTAACATTCACATTTTTCCCATGAGAGTGAAAGCAGCCATGCTCCACTTCAGAGCCTACCACAGCTGGAGAGACCAGACTCCATCACTCAACAGGAGATACTACTTTCCTCGTTTTTACTGACTATAATTTCTATGTGATTACTTAAAAGAGAATGTGTCTACGAAGGCCTGCTCTATTGTAGATAAAAGGATAAGTTTTTGTTTTGAGGGTTTTGTTTAATTTTTTACAGTACACAGAGCAGGGAACCCAGGGACTCACAAATACTAGACGAGAGCTTTTCCACAGAGCTTCATCCCCAGCTTGAAGAAGACAAGTTTTTGTGGTTTTTCGTTTGTTTTATTTTTTGAGACAGGGTCTCACTATGTAGTTCACGGCCTTGAATTCACTGTGTAGCCCAGGCTGCCCTTGAACTCACTGGCGATCCTCCTGCCTCAGCCTCCCTAAATGCTGGGATTACAGTCATGGCACACCATGCTCAGCTAAGAAGACAAGTTTAATTATACATCTTTACACCTTTTTCAAGGGCGTTGGGTTTGGAATCTGGGGCCTCACACGTGCTAGGCAAGCATTCTACTACTGGACATTTGAAATAGTAATTCACTGAGCATATATGAAATACAGCAGAGGAATTGTCTGGATATTGGGAAAAGGAAGATTTTTGTAACCCTTTCTAAAAATATAATTGTCTAATATAACCCTCAGTTACTCCATATATATTCTATATGAAAGATTTAGTCAAGATACAAGTTTAGATATGAAATAACAACATACCTACTTTTTACATATCAGATGTTGAGACTATTACACCATCTCTAAATACAGTAATCTGATTTAAAAGCAGAACTGTTTCTTGTCCAATGACACAAAAGCTCTTAGTTGGAGCTGGTATTCAACATTTTCTCTCCCCTACAGCTACCCTCTATCCCTCGTTCCCATTTGCTGTAACATGTACGCACCTTTTCCCTCACAAAAATGCATGTAGATAATAAATGTTCCCAAGAAGGTGGAAGTAAAGGACCCCAATGACTAATCTTTACTAACAAGAAGTAGAACAGGTATGCCTTAACCTGTAAACTCATGCATAGAGTTCAGTTCTTGACAGAAACATGAACAACAAAAACCTGAATTCTGACATTACAGACTATCCTAATAAATTAATACGTGTACTTACAGGGCCTTGTATATAGTAAGTACAATCATCCCTCAGTATTCTTTGTTTGGGAGGGGATTGAGACAGGGTCTCATTATATAGTTCAGCCTGGCCTTGAACTCGCTATGTAGCCCAGGCTGACCTGGAACTCATCATGATCCCTCTGCCTCAGCCTCCCAGGCGTGCACCACCATGCCTGGCTTCCTTCGTATGTTTGAGCCAAGGCTGGCTTAATCCGAGGATGCAGAAACCACAGACACAGAGTGACCAATGTTCTGAATAAACACTGTTATCATTACACTAATACAAACAGTATCACCTCTAGGAAGACTAAAATTATCACACTAAACAAACATGAGGGCTGTCTAACCAGCAAGAGAAAAATGTCACAGAAATGCCTTACATGTGGAGATAGCACACAGGTATTTCTTTATGCGATTCTTTCTCCTGCCCTAGAGTCTGCGTGACAGCAGAACAGCTGCTGTTGGGGAATGTTACTAGAGAAATCCAGCCCGCAGACCATGAAGCGGACTCTGACAAAGGACCGGAGATCAATGGGCAACACCTGACTAAGTAGTGCGGAAATGGAAAACGAAGCCAGCCCCTCACACCCACAGCAGACTTCCAGGGATGGCTCTGCGAGAACGCATCTAGCATTTAGAAAAATCTGTTACTTACCACGGCAAAGACAAAGTCAAGATACTTAACGACGCTGCTGTTGAGCCGAAGCTGAGCTGTGTTGGGTTGGCAGCTGCCAGTGAAGCCCGTTGTGTTGGGGTTGATGTTAATGATTGAGGCAACCTGTAGGGGAGGAGACAGGCAGAGTACAGACGAACTATGTGAGTTGACAGCAAAGCCTTAGACTCTAATAGTCAACTTCACTGCAGAACAAAAACTGCTTTGTTAAATTCATGGTGTCTTACTTTCAAACCAAGTTGGCATGGGCTCTCAAGCTATGACTAAGATGACTTGAAAAACAACAAGAAGAAAGCTTCCTCGGGAATGAGCCAAATGAAAACACACATTTTTACGGAGCACAAGAGCCATATGTCTGGCTTGTTCCAGTCACAGGATTCTAGAAATGCGATTTAGTCGTTGGCACGCCCTCTGGAGTCCCAGCAGAGCACTGCAAGCAGAAGGGCCAGGGTGGACGTGAGCGTGTCTGCGACCTGAGTCATAACAGCCAGAGACACAGGGCTCCGCCGCTGGTGCACGCCAGCCTACAGTTCACTTCAGGTTGAAGTGTATGAAGGGGGCTGCACTTTTTCATTTTTTGGCAGTGCTAGGGAGCAAAGTCAGGGCCTCAAGTGTGCTAGGCGAAGGTTTTACCACTGAGTTTCATCCCCAGCCCAGGAACTGTGTTTTAAACAGACTGAAGAAAATAAAGCTCAGCTATGTGTACTATGAGCTACTGAAGGCACACAGGATCTAAACCCCAGAGTCCTTTCAGCATCGGTTTTATCCTGGCTGAGACGACGCCCGGCCAGTGATATTAAGTCTTCATGGTTCTCCTAACTCCTAACTCTCCAAATAATCAAAATTCAGAAAGTCACGCTGCTGCTGGGGGGAAAACAAGATACACGATACTTGGCAAAAACACAGAAAGTACGCGTGGGTGAACACGGACAAGCATACCTTGTCCTGAGTGACGTTCAGCTGCAGCCCCATGGTCGCCAGCAGGCACGTGCTGTTGCCCTTACTCACTGAGTAGTTGCCAACTTCTGGCTTCTCCTTTGCAGCGGGCGTCGTGGTAGGCGAGGGCACAGTGGTGTGAATGACGGGGGCCGCTGTGGTGGGGCTTCTGTCTTCCTCACACAGAAATTCTAAAACAAGCACACAAAAGACAAAGTAAATGAAGATGGTCTTTTCCTTAATCCATTAGGCCAGGGAAGAGCAAACTATTTTTCACAACAGAAGTCCAAGAGGGTGCATTAGGAGAAAGGAATATCCTCTAATATGTTTAAGCTAAATGAGGCAGAAGTTATTAAACTGCTGTTTCATGTCCAATCTCTGTGACATAGCAGACATGTTCAAGACACGTCCCAAGGTTTGTCTTCCACACATGGCCCAACCCTTTCGACACCTTCATTCCTGCCCCTGGTGGGAAATTTAGAGATTTAAATCTGAAAACATTTAACCCCTACCTCATCCACCTTCTTCCTCCCCCGCACAACCATTATAAGGAAGGATACTGTCTGCTAGAAAAAAAAGTTTAAAAATCATTCAGGATGTGTTTGTATTTTAAGACAGGGTCTCGGTATATAGTGCAGGCTGGCCTTGAAATTGCTTATGTAGCCCAGGCTGGCCTCAAACTCTTGGCAATCCTTCTGCCTCAGCCTCCAGGGCTGGGATTACAGGTGTGCGCCACCACACCCAGCCTTCATTTAGGATTTTGATACAGTGAACCTTTTATTTACACTACCCCTACAGCAAATCATATGTATTTCTACTTCTTAAAGTGTTAGCAGTTTCCAGGACTGATGAAAGAGAAACTGTCACATTTCCAAAAAGTCACACAGAAGTTGTAAAATCAATTTACAAAAGTAAACATTAACACAATTTTAAGTTCTAAGCTTTGGTCTTGGAACTGCTAAGGAGCAGATCATCAAGCTAAAGCCGGGCCTTTTCAAAACAAAAATCACGTTTGATCAGCTAATGGAAACATTACAGGGAGAACCTTTTAGAAGACCACTCCACATGTATATTAAACTTTAAATTGTGAGTTCCCACAGGAATAGCGATTATTTATAAAAACTTTATAGTCTAGTGGAAGCTACACGCAACCCTTAATCTATAAATGCTTTCAGATAATGACCTCAACAAACACCACCTGCTATACTCATTCAATTAGGACCCAAGTATAGAAATAGATACTTTCAGCACTTACCTTTTTTGCTCACGGTGCCATTTTGGACAAAAGCTTGAACAAGAACATCCCAATAGTGCTGGACAACATGGTTCTTTTCATGAGTTAATAAACTCTTGCATCTAAAGATGTTATTCAACGGAACACTGACTTCCACAGAATCAGCGACGGTAAAGAGTCCTACAAAACAAGATGAACAATGGCTGTTTGCAAGAGGGCGGGAGAAGGCGGTGATATAAAATGAGCTCTCTTCCTCCCCGTCTGCTCCACTCTGTGCCCAAAGCGACCATGGTTGTAACATCCCAACGAGAACCACAGAGGCACTCCGGCTGAGACACAGAGAGCAGGGAAGAAGAAGCAAAGGGAATTAAGAGGAGATGAATGGTGGCTGGTCTCACTTTTACACGTCTTCTAGCACCTAAGCCCAGCACGGCTTTCTCTGTTCCCCACGGAGGGGCCAGCTGGTGTCCATCAGTACACATCTTCAGTACAGGACGATTATGCTCCTCATGGGGTAACACAGCTTCACTCTTTTTCTTCTCCCCTTGCCCCATTAGATTCCAATTTCAAAGCAGGAAATGAGACAGATAAACAACTTATTTTAAGGAAGATATCAAATAGGTGTAGGAGAAAACTTTTAAGGGACGCCATCGAAGGAGAAAACCAGTTAGAGGCCAGTGGCCTGGCCGCGGTGCAAGGTGAGGGGCTTGCCTGCACTAAGATGGGGAGGGCAGCAGGAAGAAAGTGAGGAAGGCAAACTGAAAATACTGAAGTTAGAATAAACAGGACTCAGTGACTCTGAATAGCAGAAGAAAGAGCGATGAAGTAATTGCTGATTTCACAGTAAATCCTAATTTTGACACTCCTATCGAAAGTAAGCTACATCACCTCTAACGAGCTCACAGGGTCTCTGCCTAGATGGAATTTAAAAGACTACTCCATTTCAGAAAATCTTCAGAAGGCAAAGGAGATTGCAGCCAGTCTGCACCAAGTTTTGATTAAAAAGCCGATAGGGAAACTTCAAAGGACTATGATCGCACGGATTGAAATGGCTTAGTTTCTTTTTGAAGTAGCGAGAAAGGAAGATATTTTCGAGATCATTAATACAGGCTTCCTCCTGCGCCTGAGTCAGGCAGCAAGGCAGCCATTTAATGCTACCTTGGCACCCCCTAATGGTCAAAGGAATTCTTTTCTTTTCTTTCTTTATTTACTTTGACACAGCGTTTCCTTATGTAGTGCAAGCTGGCCTCAAACTCATGGCAACCCTCCTGCCTCAGGCTCCCCAGTGCTGGGATTACAGATTATGTGCCACCATTCCTGGTTCAAAGGAATTCTTTTAAAACAATAAACTAGAACATTTTCCAAAAACTGTTTCTTACTGTTAACAAAAACGAATAGATATGGAAATTGGCTGAATATAGACAGACTTCAAAAATAAATGAGTAAAAACAACAAACTGTAGCCGGGTATGGTGGTGCACACTTGTGATCCCAGAACTCCGGAAGGCTGAGGCAGGAAGATCTAAAGTTCAAGCTTAGCCTGGGAAATTTAGTGACTTAGTATCTGTCTCAAAATTTAAAAAGAAAAGAAAAAAAAAAAGGAAAGCAGAAAGGGAGGGAAGGAAGAAGGAAGGAAATAAGCAGAAAGAAGGCTGGAAGGAAGTAATAAAAGGAGGTGGCTGGGACAACAGCTCAGTTTGAAAGCTCTGGGTTCTATCTCCAGTACCCCTCTCACTCAAAAAAGAGCTATAAACATATTGAGGTTACACCATGAAACTGTGTTTTGCAAAGCATGTATTGTTTATGAACACTAATGTATGGAGTGAAAATATACACACTCAGACAGGAAGGCTATAGCCCAGAGTCATAAGAGTGGTGAGGGTGGTTGCTGCTAGTGGGTAGCAAGGAAAATCGAGCCGGGACGTGAGGATAAAAGGGATTTCAAACGCATCTGTAAGGGTTTGATTCTTTAAAGAAATAAAGTGGTTGACCAAACATTAAAATGGCATTTATGAATTCTGAGTAAGGGATCTGTAGTTCTCTGTACTTTTTTTCTTTTGGGGACTGTCTTGCTGTGCAACCCAGGCTGGCCTTGAGCTCTCAGCGATCCTCCTCCTCAACCTCCAAAGTGCTGGGATTACAGGTGTGTGCCATTACACCCAACATCATGTTTTAATCATGGAAATATTTTTAAAAATGAAACAGGAGCTTCAAAGTTATTTCAATTATCAGATGCTCAAAAGTACATTAATATTTTGAAATAATGAATGATTTCAAAACAATAGTACATTTAACAGTACATTTATTACAGAAGCTGTTTTAAATTCTAAATACTTTCAAATATCTTATTAGACAGATGCTAGTGATAGAGGTCAGGCATGGTGGTGCACATCCGTAATCCCAGAACTCGGGAGGCTGAGGCAGGAGGATTGCTGTGAGTTCAAGGCCAGTCTGGACTACAAAGTGAGCTCAAGGCCAGCCTGAATTGCATAGCAAGACCCTGTCTCAAAGAATGAAAAATAAAAAAGCAAAAACAAAAAGGCTAGTAACAGAAAACATAGTCACCCCTTTGTTTAAAAGAGGGGAAAGATACAAGTGTTAACATTTTACCTTTTTTATGCAAATAGCCAAACCAAACCTTAACTGCTGCCCAGGTGGTCTGGCCATTTACTCCATCATCCCTTGATTATTGTACCAGCCTGGCTTTTTTTTTGGTCTTTTTGAGACAGGGTCTTGTTATGCAGTTCAGGCTGGCCTTGAGCTCACTTTGTAGCCCAGGCTGGTCTCGAACTCTCAAAGACTCTCCTGCCTCAGCCTTCCGAGTGGTGGGGTTACAGGCGTGCACCACCATGCCCGGCTTGTACCGGCCTCTGAAGCCAGCAACTCAGCCCGCAGTCTCCTCACTTCCAAATTAATTCTGCAGAATATTCTTTTATAAATAACTATCTTGGCTGAGCATAGTGGTGCACACCTATAATTCCAGTACTTGGGAGGCTGAGGCAAGAGAACTGCCGTGAGTGAGACCAGCCTGGGCTACACAGTGAGTTCAACACCAGCCTGAACTGCATAGCAAGACCCTATCTCAAAAAAAAAAAGTCTCCCATAAATGACTCTCTCCCCTTTTTAAAATACCATTCTCTCAGGGCCGGGGATATAGCTCAGCAGCACAGCACCTGCTTAGCAAGCACAAGGTCCTGAGTTCGATTCCTGGTACCAAAAAAAAAAACCATTCTCTGGCTTAAAAAAACCTAAACTGATTCCCAGTGCCTACCGTAACAACTCAGATGTCTCCTCCTTGACTTCTGAGACGCCCTGTAATTTAGACTCACTGCACTTGGCCAACTGTCTTCTCCTACACACACAGCCTCTGTTGTAATCAGGCATGTCTGCCATTACTGCTGCACATGCCACGCCTCCCCCTGCTGGAAACCTCCTGTGCAAACTCAGTGCACTGCAATTCTATTGCTGGCTGAGTTCCGGCTTAGGAGAGACTCTTCCGAGCTTTCACACTCTGACTTTGCCTTTTCTCTGCTCCTATCTGGGCCGCTGGTGAAGACACGTGTACAGAGAGCAGGCGGGACTGGGGACCCGCAGACAGGGACCGACACCATCTTCCGTGTGCAGAATGCAGCCTCCGTGTACTATTCCTGTTTGAGAGACAAGGTCTAGTGCCGTCCTTACACTGTCAGAAAAGACGCACGAACCCTCCACCCCTTCAAACAAAATCACAGAAACAGACTGCGCTCAATATTTGCCAATTTTCCAGATGACTTGAAAACACAATTTATCTTTGTCTTCCCAACTGATTTCTAAGCTCCTGGAAAGTGAGAAGCAAATCTTATCCTAGTTCTCCAAGACAATGCAGGGCACAGAGATAAAGACGGAAGATAAATCAAAATCTATTTGCTTTAGTTACCCTCTCAAAATAAGAGACTAATGAAGGACAACTAGGCTTCCATTCTCAAGTTTCAGTCCGTGCTAGCTCCCCACGTCTATGTGAGCTCTTTCACTTCCTCGTCTTCAAATAGGATGTTGTGCTACCCTCAGGTCCAAAGAAGGTACTCCTCCCCGGGTCTGGGCAACTCATCTCGATCTACCTATAATTCTGGAGTCAGAATGAAACCATCCGTGAGGAGAGGTGAGACACAAGAGATACCAATGTTAACCCCATCTCCATGGAGGGGGAGGAAAAGAATGCCAGTACGTCCCTAGTTACACCAGAATCCCCACTATCCACGCTTTCAATACATTTCACAAGGGCACACTTCAGGTCTGGGAACTACAAGAATGACCTAATCGCCAGTGCCTTCCCAAGTTCATTTAGACCTGAAATTGTTTCAGAATAGCAGCAAATGTTGACTTTAGTCATTTTATTTATCACTTACTTTCTAGTCAAAATCTATATAGTTCAGTGGCACAAGCCCCTGCCTGGGAAGCGCAAGGTCCTGAGTTCGATTCCCAGCAGCCCCTCCAAAAACCTTACCTAATGCTAAAAGGACCTAAAGATGATGGATTTCTTCTAGCCTCAGGTTATTAAACTTGTACACATTTGAAGTAATAATTAGGAAGGGCTTTCTCATTTATTCAACATTTGTTGATTGTCCACTATTGAACAAAATAGACAGTAACAGTGTATGAATTTTGTAGCTCAGTGGACTTTGGTTCAAACACTTGCTGCTCATGCATTTATTAAATTCATGACCTTTGAGAAAGTCAAATGTTATCAAACCTCATTTGCCTGTAAAACTGAGATAATATCTGCTTCCCAGGATCTGCTGTTAAGGAATGAGATGCTATAAGTGACACACGTCCAGTAGCAAGTGATACAGAGTAAAGTGCTCAGCAATGGCAGAATCATTACTGTGTCCTGCCTCAGCCTCAGCTCTGCATGGGGTCAGGTGGGAACAAGGGGAAATGGCAGGAAGTTTCTATTAGAGTTAGGAAGACAGACATGCATGACTATTTCTAAATTGTTTACATTTTCACTATTAATAGAAAGTCAGAGAACATAACACAAATCCAATTCTTAAGCTTACCTTTATCTTTAGCATCAGGAAATGTTGTGTTATCCCTGGTGTCGTAGGAAAACAAGATGCTGTCAATGAAGTAATTAGGAGCACTCTTGGTAAAATTCACAATCCAAGAGAAACCAGACTGAAATTGCACAGCTATTTTGGGACCATTGTGGTCATCCCCACAACTGCTTCCATTGTATGTCACAGGATCATGGGCTGAAATGGTTACAGTGTTCTAAAAGAAAAAGGAGTCCAGAGGTGAGAAACGAACAGGCAGTATGCTTCAACACTGGGGAGATGAGCTGGGTGTGCCACGTCAGTCTACATCATTCATTCCCCACGGCCAGGTTGTCCTGGGCCAGGTGTACTTTGTAATCCAGCCTCAGATTCTTCAGCTACACACATACTTTTTTTTTGAGACAGGGTCTCACCCTGCAGTTCAGGCTGGCCTTGAACTCACTGTGTAGCCCAGGCTGGCCTCAAACTCGCAGTGATCCTCCTGCCTCAGCCTCCCGAGTGCTGGGATCACGGGCATGTGCCACCATGCCTGGCTACACACATACTTTCTGTATGTCCAAAAAGAAATGAAAAACTGGTCTGAAGTACCATTCTTTAGCTGATAAGGCTAAAGAAAGAAATATTCATTGTAACACTAAACAGAATACAGTATCTATAAAGAGTATAAAGTTTGTTAAGACTAGAGTTTAAATGTTAAGTGAGTTAACGTGAAAACTTATTTGTACAAATGCATCCAAAGGATAAAAAAGTCAGAATTAAATTCCTACTATAAAATCAAAAGAAAAACAGTTACTTACATTAGTTTTGTTTGTAGTTTCATACTGTATTGTGAAATTCATCTGCCATTTTGCGTAAAGGCAAGTGACTTTTTCTGAATTTGTCAAATTCAGTTCCAATGCATAAGACTGGGCAGCCCCTGGATTTATTAAAAAAACATTTAAGATTATACTACAAAAACAACATATAAAATAAAAAACCAGTTACATCCGCTATTAAAGTTCAATCAGCTCTAAAATGAAAGTATTTTTAAATATACTATATATGGTATCCCGGTGACTGTTTTTCTTTGCAATCTTTAACAGAATCCTATTGATCAAGGGACCATTTTCCTTTCCTAAAAGAATGGTTATTAGGCCTGGAATGCTCATGGAACGGCACAGACTGGTGACACTAACCTTCTGCCTCCTAATAACCACTTCCACATTTATCTGTGCTGTTCTAGTTTTTAGACAATTACAGTTTGCTTTGGCGGGGGGGGGGGGGTTCCGAAGTAAATTACATAAGGGAAAGCATGGAAAGGATGTTCCTGCTTCTCTCAAACCAGCAGGTAAAACCCTCTATTGAAAACTAATGCTAGATCAGATGTTCTACGGCCTCACTGCTTCAAATCTTGTGCCAAGCGATGTAACCTAGGTGCCCCAGATGTCCTTCCAAATGATTTCATTCTGATGTAATCAGATGTAGGGGAGCTCTTTATGCAAGTGTATCACATGACCAAAGAAGCAGCACTGCAAAGAGCTGTTAGATCCATTTAAAAAAAGGTTATTCCAGCTGGGCATGGTAGTGCACATCTGCAATCCCAGCACCTGGGAAGCTGAGGCAGGAGGATCACTGTGAGTTCGAGGCCAGTCTAGGCTGCACTGTGAGTTTAAGGCCAGCCTGAACTGCTAGTGAGATCCTGTCTCAAAAAGAAAAGAAAAAGAAAAAGCTTATTCCTTAAAATACAAAGTTCATCACTTGGTTTCCCTTTAAAATGTAACTGACTGGAAAAGGCTGAGCAATCTTTTGACATGGACTCAAAATTACTCAACGTGCTCCAGTAACTTTGGGACCTTTCAGTTAACTTGATTCTAATCTTCTACACTTAAACACAGAAACATTACCTATTTAAACTGAAAAGTCCAGGGCTGGGGGTTTAGCTCAGTGGCAAAAAGCGCCTGCTTGGCAAGCGCAAGGCCGTGAGTTCGGTTCCCGGTACCGGAGAAAAACCAAAAAAAAAAAAAAAAAAAAAAAAAAAACTGAAAAGTCCAAGGCCTTCCTGCTTCTCTCTCAAATCAGCAGGTAAAAGTCTCTATTGAAAACTAATGCTAGATCAGATGTTCTGTGGCCTCACTGCTTCAAATCTTGTGCCGAGTGATGAGGAGGAAATATTCCAGCAAACACACCTGCAGCATAAACAATGGGCAACCACCTAAGGGCTTTCTTCACCTGAGGGGGAAGCTATTTCCTGTTAAGATAGCTGCATAGCTTTTAATGATATCTGAGCAACCCAGTGTCCTGTACAGGTAGGGACAGGCAGCAGAACGTAGAGAACAAAGCCCTCAGAGGAATATTCAGCAGGCTTGCTTCAGCAATAGCTTTCATGCGGCACACAAAAGCTGGCCCCGTCATGCTCCACAGCCCTGGCTGCCTTAGCCAGCCCGAATAGTACATGAGAGCTTGTGATCACTGATGGTGACTAAATGTATTGGCTAAGGCTCAAAAAGACCTTGTGAGACCTAAGTAGGTTTCACTGCCATTCTTTTCTAAGTACAATATGGAATGGACCTGTCATATGAAACCAAAGCTACCTACCTTCAATGTGCAGAGAAATCCAACTTACAACTTTTCTAATCAGCTGGAGTTTTGCTTTTTCATATGCTGTCTCTCTCAGTGTGACTTAAAGTCCATAGCTTTTGAGGAACCTTGCATGCCTGGGATATATCCCACTTGAGGAATGATCTTTTTGAGACAATATGTGGATGGAGTTGATTTGTTAGTTTTTTATTGAGAATTTTTGTATCTATATTAGAAATACTGGTCTACAGTTTTTATGTGTTTCTTGTTTGTTTGCAGTACTGGGGATTGAGCCCAGGCTGTGTGCATGCTACGCAAGCGTTCTATCATCGAACCACACTCCTAGCTAGCCAACCCTGCTAAAATTTTATTTTGAGCCAAGCGTGGTGGTACACACCTGTGATCTCAGCAACTAGGCGGCCAGGGCAGGAGGACTGCCATGAGTTTGAGATCAGCCTGAACTACATAGTGAGACCTTGTCTCAGAAAAACCAATCAACCAAATAAATAAATACACAAATAAATAAACAAATTTTATTTAGAGACAAAATCTCACATAAATTGCCCAAGTTGGCCTCAAACTTTTGATCTTCCTGCCTCAGCTTCCTGAATAGCTGGGATTATAGGCATGTGCCACCATCCTCTAAAACAACTTTTAAAATTAAATAAAAATAATTAAGCTGGATGTGGTGATGCATGCCTGTAATCCTAGCACTCGGGAGGCTGAGGCAGGAGGATCACTGCAAGTTCGAGACCAATCTGGGCTATAAAGTGAGTTCAAGGCCAGCCTGAACTGCATAGTGAAACCCTGTCTCAAAAAAGACAGAAAGAAAAATTTTAAAGCCCTTAGCTTCAGCATATTCTCCTTGTATTTAAAATTATTTTGTATTTAAAACTATTAATAAATAACGAAGAAAAGCCTTTCATGTGTCAATAATTTACTTTCCAAAGATAACAGAGGAGCAGGAAGAAAACTGTATAAGACAATAACAGCATCAAGGTGTTCCCAAGTGGGAGAAGTGAAGCTTTCCGCAGCAGAAGGCACAGGCTCTGGGTCACGGGTACTGCATGAACTCAGGCTGAAGACAGGCTATCTACCTGGCCTGTGGCAAGTACTGATAAATCCCTGAGGGCCCCAGGCGCTCATTCTCCTGCCCTCACAGCCCTTCCACCTCCACAGCTCGTCTCCGTGTCCCACTGCACAGGGGTCACTTTCAGTCAGACATCTCGGACCTCAAACTCAGCAACTGCAAAACTAAAATCCACTCTTCTGTTTCCCCCTCTAAATGACAGCTGTGCTGCTGAGCTACATCTGGCTCAGATGATTTGCAAAGAGCTTCGATGTCATTCTCTTCATGAAGTCCTACTGATTTTTTTCCTTCAAATTCTCTCTTAAATTTTTCCACATTTCATTTTTCACATTTCATTCCTACTCCCGATCTACCACACCACCTGTAAAATACTACAGGTACCTCCTCCCTGCCCCTAAAAGTGCTGCCAGATTAGCAGTCCTTAAATACCACTTTCTCGGACCAGAGATGTAGCTCAGCAGCACAGTGCCTGCCTGGCAAGTGTGAGGTCCTGAGTTCGATTTCTGACACACACAAAATACCACTTCCTCTTAGGACCCTCTCGTGTTCAAAACCTTTTATTGGCTCCCAAATTCCCATTAAATTTAAATTCCTCCTCCTGACTTTTGAAGTAATCCTTCATCTTAGCCAGGTGTAGTGGCGCACACTTGTAAACCCAGCATCTGGGAGGCTGAAGGAAGAGGATCGTTTCGAGTTCGAGACCAGCCTGTGCTACAAAGTGAGCTCAAGGCCAGCCTGAACTGCATGGAGAGACCCTGTCTCAAAAAAAAGGAAAAAAAGTAACCTTTCATCTTGTCCTGTCCTGTTCCTTCTCAGTCTCTCAAGCCACTTTCCCAGAACACCCTTTAACCTGGCCACGCTTGTTTCTGCTGCACCTGAATGCCACACACTCTTCAACTTCTACCTCTTCGTGTCCACTGTTCCTAACACTGAAATCCACTTTCTGCTGACTTTTTAAATGTTCACCTTCAAGATGTCCGAAGGACATAATGGAAACAGCGCTTTTGTACATAAGCGGGGGGGAAGAGGGTTTGAAGGGAGAGAGGACAATGGGAGAAAAGTAATCTAGATATATCCTATTCAGGTACAAATCCCCCATGATGAATATGACCACTATATATATCTAGAATGTACCAATTCCCTTAATTAATTTTAAGAAAAGATGCTCCTCTTTATGGCTGCCCAAAGCATGGAACACCAACCTGCCAAACGAGGTTTAAATACTTGGTTTCAGTGTCTGCCCGGTATCACTGCCCACTGCAAAAGGTGGCCACCTGCCTTCTCTGCTCCCTTCCAGCAAGGAAGGGAGTGCGTGCTAGGCTCTGTAACGAAGCTACCCGTCTCAGACCTCAATTTTGGGGAGACAGGGTCTCACTACGTTGTCCAGACTGGTCTTGAACTTGCGGGTTGAAATAATCCTCCATCTCAGCCTCTCAAGTAGCCAGGACTGCAGCATATGCTCCCATGCCTGGCTCACCCCAGCCTTTCACAGGAGGGCACGAGCGGAGGGAGAAATGGAAGGGGCAAGGAGAAAGTCGCATTAGCAGCAGGCGCCCAGGCAGCAAGATGGCAGCAGCCAGTGCACACAGCTGAGGTTTCCTGCTTGGTGGTGATCACATGGTTCAGTGGCTTGACTTGGGGCATTGACTCAGGCTTGGAGATCTATAGCCAGAGGCACCTGCTCTTCTGAGTTATCTAATATACACCTGTATAAACATTTCAGCCGGACACAGTGGTGCACGTCTGTAATCCCAGTACTTGGGAAGCTGAGGCAGGAGGATCGTTGCAAGTTCGAGACTGTCCTGGGCTACAAAGTGAGCTTAAGGCCAGCATGGACTGCATGGAGAGACCCTGTCTCAAAAAGGCAAAGAAAAAAGTAAACAATTTTATTGATTGTACAGAAAAGTGCACAGCATGACATACAAAGGAAAAGTGTACACAACATTAAGCATACAAATCAAAGAACTGTCATAAATTGACCCCTCTGGTATCAAGAAGCTGAGCACCGAGAGAAACTGTCTCTCAGTATCTGCTGGGGATTGGTCCTAGGACACTCCTGGATACCAAAAATCTATAAATGTTCCAGTCTCTTCTGTAAAATGGCACTGTAATGGCAGATAACCTACACACTCCTGTATATTTCCAATCATCCCCAGATGACTTATAATACCTAGCAAAATATAAGTGCTGTGTAAGTAGTTGTACTGTTAAAGGAATAACAACAAGAAAAGAAATACAGGGCCGGGGATATAGCTCAGCGGCACAAGTGC